GGGGGTAACTCCACCTGCCGGCTGCTGTGAGGGGGGGGCACCCCAAAATTTTGGGGGGTAACTCTACCTGTCATCTGCTCTGAGAGGGGTTGAACCCCAAAATTTTGGGGGGACTCCATCTCTGGGAGTGGGATTGCGCCCCAAAATTTGGATGGGGCTCCATCTGCTGAGAGCGGGATTGCACCCCAAAATTTTGGGGGGTAACTCCTTCTGTCATCCGCTCTGAGAGGAGTTGAACCCCAAAATTTTGGGTGGTAACTCCACATGTCGGTTGCTGTGAGGGGGGAGGCACCCCAAAATTTTGGGGGGTAACTCCACATGTCGGTTGCTGTGAGGGGGGAGGCACCCCAAAATTTTGGGGGGTAACTCTAGTTGTCATCTGTTGTGAGACGGGTTGAACCCCAAAATTTTGCAGTGGGACTCCACTTATCACCTGCTGTGAGCAGGATGGCACCCCAAAATCTGGGGGGACTCCATCTGCTGAGAGTGGGATTGCACCCCAAAATCTGGGGGGACTCCATCTGCTGAGAGTGGGATTGCACCCCAAAATTTTGGAGGGGGAGGGACGGGGAATGTTGGGGGCTCTAAAAGTGGGGGGCTCCATCCTGAAGGAGCTTGAAAGTGGGGGAACCCCCCCTTGAGCATTCCTGGAGTTGGGACCCAAAATTGGGGCGTCCCCCCCTTTTTGGGGTGTCTGGAATGGGGGCAGCAAAAAGGGGGAACCCTCCAAAAATCAATGCCCCCTCCCCAAAAAAAAATGAGAGACCCCAAAACTCGAGGGACCCCCCCAGACCTCAGGACCCCCCCTCCCTCAGCTCGGTGCCACCTGGGGGGGTCCCCAAATTTACCTCATGTCCCCCCCTCCCCCCGTGTCCCAAATGTCCCCAATCCCCTCAAGGTCCCCAAATGTCCCCGCTGTCCCCAATCCCCCCGCTGTCCCCAATCCCCTCAATGTCCCCAATGTCTTCACTGTCCCCAATGTCCCCAATGTCTCCAAATGTCCCTGATGTCCCCAATCTCCCAATGTTCCCAATGTCCCCCCGCTGTCCCCAATCCCGTCAATGTCCCCACTGTCCCCAAGTGTCTGCAAATGTCCCCAAATGTCCCCCTTGTCCCAATCTCTCCCAATGTCCCCAGTGTCCCCTGTCCCCAATCCCCCCGCTGTCCCCAATGTCCCCGCTGTCCCCAATCCCCCCACTGTCCCCAATGTCCCCCCGCTGTCCCAAATGTCCCCACTGTCCCCCAATGTCCCCAATGTCCCCAATGTCCCCAATGTCCCCGCTGTCCCCAATGTCCCCCCGCTGTCCCCAAGGCCAGCTCAGCTCTACGGTGTTTATTGGCGTCTCTAACACTCACTGATGCAGATAAATAGTGGACATTTGTCACCGCTGCCACCCCCCGCCGCGGGGACACCCCGGGGACCCCCCGCCACCCCCCGGGGACCCCTCCCCCCACCACGGGGACACCCCCGAGGGGACGGACGCCGTGGGGACACGCAGGGGGGGATCCTTGCACGTGGGCTTTGCACACGCGCTTTGCACGTGGATCCTTGCACGAGGACGATCCTTGCACGCGCACTTTGCACGAGGAATGTTCCTTGCACAAGGATCCTTGCACGGGCGCTTCGCACGAGGACAATTTGCACGTGGATCCTTGCACGAGGAGGTTCCCTGCACGTGGATCCTTGCACGAGGATCATCCTTGCACACACACGCTTTACACAAGGGTCCCTCCACAAGGATGATCCTTGCACGCGCACTCTGCGTGACGGCGATTCGCACAAGGATCCTTGCACGTGGGTCCTTGCACGAGGAACGTCCCTTGCACCAGGATCTTTGCACACGCGCTTTGTACGGGCACACTTTGCACTAGGGTCCTTGCACGAGGACGATCCTTGCACGTGGATCCTTGCACGAGGATGACCCTTGCACGCGCACTTTGCACGAGGATCATTGTGCGTTGCACGAGGGCGGCGGGGAAGGGCCGGGCCTTGCACGAGGGCGGGCCTTGCACACTCAGATTTGCACAGGGAGCCATTTGCACACTCACCATTGCACAAGGAACCGTTTGCACACTCAGAACTGCACGAGGGCGGGCCTTGCACACTCAGATTTGCACAGGGAGCCATTTGCACACTCAGAACTGCACGCAGACCCATTTGCACACTCACCATTGCACAGGGACCCCCGTTTGCACACTCACCATTGCATTGCACTAACACCCCCTTGCACACTCACCCCAACACCAGGGCCCCCTCTTGCACACTCACAACTGCTGAAGGAGAATCCTTTGCACACCCAGAGTTGCATGAGGACCCCCATTTGCACAAGGATTGCTTTGCACACTCACCATTGCAAAGGGACCCCCGTTTGCACGCTCACCATTGCACAAACACCCCTTGCACACTAACCAAGGCACAAACACCCTTTGCACACTCACCATTGCACAGGGACCCCCGTTTGCACACTCACCATTGCACAAACACCCCTTGCACACTCACCATCGCACAGGGACCCCCGTTTGCACGCTCACCCTCGCACAAACACCCCTTGCACGCTCACCATTGCACAGGGACCCCCGCGCCGGCCTCGTGTCCCCGCTGGTGCTTGCGCAGCTTCCGCAGCGCCGGGAAGCTCTTCCCGCACACCCGGCACGGGTGGTGCCGCTCGCGGCGCCGCGCGGCGTCGCCATTGTCATTGCCATTGCCATTGTCGCCGCCGTCCCCCCGCCGCAGCGAGCGCAGCTTGCGCCGCCACCGCGGCTTCTTGGCGGCGCCGGGCGCGGCCCCGGCGTTGCCGGCGTTGCCGCCCGCCTTCCTCTTGGGCTTGTAGGAGTAGTACGGCCGCCAGAGCCGGTCCTCGGCGTCGCTGTCGTTGTCGCCGCGGCGCTCCTCGGCGCCGTCGCCGCGCAGCTCGGTGCCGGAGATGCGGCGCTTGACGATGGCCTCCTCGCCGATGCGCACGGTGATCTGGCACAGCCCCTCGCCCGCCGCCGAGCCCGCGTACGCCGGCTTGGCCACGTAGGTCATGGTGCGGCCGCCGCCGGACGGGTTTTGGGGCGCGGCGGCCGCGGCGGCGCCCTC